TTGGTTTACACGTGCGATTTTAAGCGTATGATGCTTCAAAGGCACGTTTTTTGGAGATTTGATGCATGTTTTTGGATTAATTTTGAACCGTGGCAATCTTTACAGAGATTCTTAGGACCCTGATAAACGAACAGTGTCTAATTTATCATTTAAGGCGCTCATCTGACATTCCAAACCCTTCATTGTCTTCCTATATCCTCTTGACTGTCCACAAATACTCAAAACATTGTAAATATCAACATTTATGGTCAATCACAATCCACATCTACTCATTTCCTTTTTCAACCATGTCTTGAGAGTGAAATCGCTGTAAACAAGACACAAAAGAAAAATAGAACGACGGTCGTAAACAATTTAAACTCATTTTCATTCCACTTTTCATTCTGCAAATAAAAATAACATTTTTTCCATTCATAAACTTTTCTAGCTGCACATTTTTTAAACAATAATTATTTTATTTTTGAAGAAAATAGTACAAAAAATTGTGTCAATAAATTTTCTTTTTTAAAAATTGTTGCTTTCTCAATTTCCTCCTCGAATTTCCTCAATTTTTTTTCGTTTCCTTCTTTTTATTTTTGTTATTCATCAAGTCATGTGATGGACTGTTTATCTTTAACATCATCACATTCTCGTTGATATCTTTAAATTAATGTAATAAATTTTATAGAGTATGTCTTTAAGCTGGGAAGCAGTGTTGGTGATTTAGTCACAAACTTAACTTATTTTCTGAACTGAATTTATCCGTCAAACTGAGCTTATTCCTCAGAAATGATCCTGTCTAAAATCTTAATCTCAAACTGAACTCTTTCATCCTCAAACTGAACTAGTTTCGTGGATTGAACTCTGCTGCAAACTAAACTTATCCTCAGAACTGATTTTATTCCCAAAACAAAGTGTATCCTCAAAATTGATATTTTCTCCAGGAACTACTCTTAGCCTCAAAACTGATATTTTCTCCAGAAAATGATCTTATCCTCAAACCTAATTTTTTTCTTTAAGAACTGGTCTTATCCTCAGTTAAGTGCCTTGCTAGTCGAATAGGTAAGGCGCTTGGCTCAAATTTGGTATGGTAACTCGAAGGTCGTCGGTTCGAATCCAGCCATTTCCAAATTTGTTCTTTTTCAGAAGTTTAGATACTTCGACTGCTTAATGTACGAGATCAAGCCATAATTGGGCATTTTGGGCAACGTTGGATTAAGGAACGGATCAGGAACTTGAAGTGTACCGGGAGAAATAGGAACGAGAGCTACAAGATTACCTTATAATGAAATATTGTCAGAACGGACCTGAAATGTATCACGCAACGCCCACAGAAGATTGAAACGAGATCCTGAATTTAATCGAAACCTAGATTTGAAGATTAGAAGCTTGATTCTACATCACCCATAGTGATATGAAATGTATCACTAATCAATGTAAAAAGTAAAACATGTATAAATACTAATTCTTCCGGACGGTAACGTCGACAAATAAATAATAATAATAATAGTAAATCCTCAATACTGATCTTATCTCCAGGAACTGGTCTTATCCTCAATACTGATCTTATCTCCAGGATCTGATCTTATTCTTAAAACTGATCTTACCCTCAAAAACTGATTTAATTCCCAAAACTGATCTTATCCTCACGAACTAATCTTATCCTTAATACTGATCTTATTTCAAGAAACTGGTCTTATCCTCAAAACTGATCGAATCTCCAGGAACTGATCTTATCCTCAAGAACTAATCTTATCCTCAATACTGATCTTATCCTCGAAACTGATCTTATCCTCAAAACTGATTTAATCCTCAAAACCAAAGAACTTTTGTCCGCAAAGTTTATTTTTTTGCACTAGACCAGATTCTTCAACTCTGACTTATTTCACACTCTCATTTGATGATAGGAAAAATTAAATTTTCTTAGTAAACATTTTCTATTTTTTCACACTTTTTCTTCTTATTTTACAATTCACGTGTCAGTTTTCCTACATTTTTCGTCTATGATAACAAAAAGAAGATTCATTCAATATCAATTTTCACGTACACCACTCCTTATGTACGCACGGCGATGTAAATAAGATATTTTTTTTCTTCTTCATCTCAGGAAATGGAAATTCGAGGTTCGAGGCTGTTAAAAAGAAGAAATCATCAAAGAAGCCGGAATCATATTAAGAACTGCCTTATCTACTGTCACTCAGCAGTTCTGTCACCCCACCTAGATTTTTATATTTTTGCACATTTAAAATGAAAAAAAAATTGCGCATCGAATTGTAAAAATAGGCCAAATTTTTTCTTCTTTTTTCCCTCTCGATTCAAAATGTGTTTATCACTAGAATTATTTATCATTTCAGCCATATGCTATGTATATAACTACAATCGCTACTATAAAAGAAGAAGATTTACATAACAAAGTCAAAAAAAAAATAGCAGAAGGAAAAATTGAAGAAAAATATTTACATTCACTTAAAACCGGTTGAAATTGGATTTATTTTGCGTAAAATTGTATTTTTATAGATTCGATGGTGCAATGCTTAAAGGTGGGGATGCTTTGTGGTTAGGGGAGATAAATTGGAAATTTCCGGCTGTAGATTTTGGAATTGGGAAATAAAATTCATGAAGTTCTGTGGTTTTTGAAGAGGATTGGAACATTTTTGAGAGGGGTTTGTAACTTGCTTGAGGGAGTTGCAACTTTCTGAAGGGAATTGCAACTTTCTGAAGTAGATTGTAACTTGTTGGAGGAACTTGCAACTCTATGAAGGGGATTTCAACTTTCTAGGCGGGATTGAAACATTCTTAAGAGAATCGCAACTTTCTGGAGAAGATTGCAACTTTTTGGAGGAACTTGCAACTCTATGAAGGAGATTTCTGGAGGGGTTTGAACCTTTTTGAAGGGGGTTGCAACTTTTTAGATGGGGTAAAAACTTTTTTGGGGGACTTTCAACTATATTAAGAGGATTTTAACTCTTTAGAAGGGATTGAAACTTTCTGAAGGGGGCCATTCACTTATTACGTAACGCTTTCAGGGGGAGGGTGGGTCTAAGATTTTGTTACGATTCAAACAAGGAAATTTTTTTTTCATACAAATTTTGTTACGAGGGGGGGGGGGGGTCTAAGAAGTCATTTTTTCGCGTTACGTAATAAGTGAACAGCCCCAAGGGGGTTGCAACTTTCTAGAGGAGGTAACAATTTCTTTAAAGGACTTGCAACTCTTTGAAGGGGATTTCAACTATTTAGATGGAACCACGAATCTCTGGAGGGGCTTTCAACTCTCAGAAGGGTAAAGGAGGGGATTTTTGGAGGGGACAACAATTTTTTGGGTTGACTTCTAACACTATGAGGGGAATTTCAACTCTCTAGAGGGGTTTGAAACTATCTGGATCTTTCTAGAGAAAACTGCATCTTTCTCGCGAAGATTGCAACTTTTTGGAGGGTATAACAATTTTTTGGAAGGAACAACTTGTTTAAGGAGACAACAACTTGCTCGAGGAGACAACAACTTGCTTGAGGGGACAGCAACTTTTTGTGAGGACTTGCGGCTCTATGAAGGGGATTTCAACTCTCTAGTGGAGACTGCAACTATTTGGTGGGTGACTGCATCTTTTTCGAGAAGGCTGCATTTTTTTATTTATAGAAAATCTCTAAAGGATACAATCCCATAAGTCCATCTTCAAGGACCCCAGCAAATCACAATATCCCTCACATCCAATCATAAAAATTGATAAACAAAATAAAATTCAACATTAATCCAACCATGAAACTTCATCAAATGATTCACATAAAATGAGCAAAAAAAATGTTTAAACAATTTTTATGCGAATATAAAATTGCCTCATAAATTTCAAACAATCTCTTTTTTTGATACTTCTGAAGGTCCCTCGTCTTTCGTCTCACTTCTTTTCCTCATTTTCATTGTCGATTAAACGGAGTAAACATATACACAAATTATATATTTTTCGGCACAGCTCATCGCATTGACCTTGCACGATGTGATAAGAGAAAATAAATAGTGAAATAAAAATTCGCGCGCTCAAATGGCTGAAATGTATTTTTTTGGGATGTCAGTATGCGTTGTTTACGATTTCTTTAATTTTTGCGATTATTTCTGTTTTACTATAATTGATAAGTCAGTCATTTGAGGCAATGAATCTTTGTATATTTTGAGGAAAATGAACTTTTGATTGGCCTACGTGGTCTACTGTGAGTAATTTGAATTTATTTTTGATTATTTTGAGTTCAATGCTCAAGATTAAACTGCAAAGAAGATACAATTATGACTGGATTTAGGTTAGGAGGGGTTGGACAGGGGTTTTGACCTTCGAGAGCTCTTAACTCCCGAACTACTATAAAATCTTTCTTATTAAGTTCTATTCTTCTCAAAAAGGTGCCAGTGCCCCAAGAGAAAAGTGCCAGTCACCGACAGAAAAAGTGCCAGTCCCCTCGAAATGTATCAGTCCCTCGAAAATTACCAGTCCCCTAGAAAAGTACATATCCCCTCGAAAAGTGCCAGTCCCTTCGAAAAGTACATATCCCCTCGAAAAGTACCAGTCCCCTCGAAAAGTGTCGGTCCCTTCGAAAGGTACATATCCATTCGAAAAATTCCAGTCCCCTCGAAAAGTGCCAGTCCCTTCGAAAAGTACATATCCCCTCGAAAAGTACCAGTCCCCTCGAAAAGTGTCGGTCCCTTCGAAAGGTACATATCCATTCGAAAAATTCCAGTCCCCTCGAAAAGTACCAGTCCCTTCAAAAAGTACATATCCCCTCGAAAAGTGCCAGTCCCTTCGAAAAGTACATATCCATTCGAAAAGTACCAGTCCCCTCGAAAAGGACACATTCTCGAAAGTGCCATTCCCCTCGAAAAGAACCAGTCCCCTCGAAAAGTCCGAATTCTTTGAAAAAGTTTTAGTCCATTTCAAAAGTGTCAGTCCCCCCGAAAAAGTGTCAACCCCTCTAAACTCTACATCTTATTTACGACTCAATAATATCAAATCAAGACACCAACCAAAAAAGGACTTTCCAGCCTAGTGCTTCAAAAAATTCAAAATGAACATAAAATACGAATACGCTCCATTTATAACATTAGTAAAGGACTTCATGCTCAATAAGCCAATTATAATTATCTTCAACTCATTCGAGTTTTGACATTGATGAATAAACTGAAGCCACACTTTCTGCATTGGAACTGACATCTTGTACCACGGAAAGTCCCAAGCTGAATCAAGAATCTTCTGGTTCTGATAAGAAATTATAGTTCCTTGAAAGCATGTCATAAGGACTTGTAATGTAAAAATCAGCATAATTGAAATTCCAATTGAAGCGGACAGGAAAGTCGCGACTAAAATGGACAGTCCAATTCCGAGAGCACTGGTAGATATAGCCACAAATGTTGTATAGTGCATGTATGGGAATATTAATGAAATGTAGTCGTTATAGCTGTTGTAAGACTTGATTAAGCTGATGATTTGTTTCTCAAGCTGTTTAATTGAATGTTCCTGGATATTAAGGTTCCTGCGCATCATCTGTAGATTGTCAAAAGTATACTTTTGTGTAGTTGCCAAAAGCTTTTGATTTTCTCGAATTTTTGACAATTTTTCTCCTAATTTTGTCATTTTATGGATGAATATGTCGCCGATGGGTATGACCTGCATGGTGTAGTTGATGAAGAACAGATCTTGGGATATCAAAATATCATAGAACATGACCGAATAGAACGTCACCAAGCTCATGTTGATTGTGAAACCAAAAGTTGTAGTTGGGTCAGTAAAAGGCAACCAAAATGGAAGTGACATGATAAATTCACCAGAAATCCAGGATATAATTAAGGCTGAAAGCGGTGGAATCATGAAGCAGATAAAGTTCAGCAGCATGTACGATTTTGATAGAATCTCAATCAATTTTACTCCAGCTGATAAAATTATCTGATTATCAAGTTCCTTTTCTTCATTTTTGTAGAACTTGTCAATCGTGTCATGAATGTCTGACACAAGTTGCTCATCATTGTTGATGTACCTCATTGTTATCCTCGTCAACAGTTGAAATACGATTGGCTCAACCATTAATGAGTGACAAATCCGAATAAAGTTGGGCCAATTGTGAAATAAACCGTTGATTTGCATGACTATACAGTTGACTGCTAAGAACACAACCAAGGCAAATCTTGAAGTCGTTGAGTTTTGATCAGCTGTATGCGAGCCATAGAGTCGACTCATTTTGACGAGAAAATAACGAAATTCTGGTGAAATAATTGATTAAATAAAATTGGTAAAAAGTATTCAGGCACTAGAAAATAAATTGGAAAGTGTTGTATCAAGTAGGTTGATATGACCAAATGGAGTGCTTTCTAGCCCTAATTAGAGTTATAACGAAGGTCAGGCTCGTAGCCTGGAGGGTCTTGTCCCCATCTTAAGCGTTTTAGGCTGTGCTATCGCTGCGGTTCAAAATGTTTAAGAGAAGACAAGTCCTTCCTGGCTACGAGCCTGACCAATAGTTTCAATAGATTTAAAGCTTTACCTTTGTTCCTTTCTGACGGCAGCATTTTCAACTTCCTTGTTGGCTTCACAAGCTTTAAAGGTTAACTAAATCAAGTTTGGCTTCCTTAAAATTACCCTGGACTTTTGGTAGCTGCTTTAGACTTATTAAATTGTTTTTTATTCAAAGGATTTGAAAAATCAAAATAATTAAAATTAATTAAGGCTGATTGACGTCAGTAAGGAAGTCAAACTTAGTTCTTAACAAAATTAAGGATGTACATAAAATATGAATAAGCTCCATTCATGACATTAGCAAAGCATTCCATGTTAAGCACTCCAATCATTACAATTTCCAGTTCATTTGAGCTTTGACACTGATGCATGAACTGCAGCCATACTTTTTGCATTGGAACTGTCATCTTGTACCACGGAAAGTTCCAAGTTTCGTCGAGAATCTTCTGGTTTTGATGAGAAATGACAGTTCCTTGAATGCATGACATCAGCACTTGTAGAGTATAAATAAGAATGACTGAAATTCCAATCGAAATTGAGAAGAGATTAGCGACTAGAATTGCAAGTCCAATGCCAACAGCATTTGTGGATATCTCAACGAATTTTGTGTAGTGCATGTATGGATGAATTAAGGATATGAAGCTGTTGTAGCTATTGAAGGATTTGATAAGGTTGATAATGTCTTTTTCATGCTGCTTGATTGAATTTTCAAGGATGTTAAGCTTTTGGCGTGCCTTTATAAGTTCCTCGATTGTAAAGTTCTGCGTATTTGTCAATATTTTCACACTTTTTCGACTTGCTGACAATTTTTCACCAAGCTGTCTCATTTTATGGATTAATATGTCACCCATTGGTATGACTTGCAATGTGTAGTAGATGAAAAACAGGTCTTGGGATATCAAAAGCTCATAAAACATGATACAGAAGAAGAACATCGCACTTGTATTGACAGCAAATCCATAAATCTCATTTGGGTCTGTAAATGGCAGCCACAATGGAACCAACATGAAGAATTCTTTAGAAATCCAAGATATAATTAAGGCAGACATCGGTGGTATCATAAAGCAGATGAAGTTCAGCAGCATGTACGATTTTGATAGAACTTCAATAAATTTTACACTAAAATCCAAAATTTTCCGTTTTTCTGGTTCCTTTTCCTCACTTTTGTAGAACTTATCAATCGTGTCATGAATCTCAGACACAAGCTGCTCATCATTGTTGACGAACCTCATAGTCATTCTGGTCAACAGCTGAAATCCAATCGGTTCAACCATAAGTGAATTACAAATTCGTTTAAAGTTTGGCCAGACGTGAATTAAGCCATTGATGTGCATGACTACGAAGATTGATGACAATAAGAGCATTACAGAAGTTCTCAGGTTCATTGGCTTCTTATCAGCTGTATGTGTGCCATGAAGTCGACTCATTTTAATGAGGAAATTTCGAGATTCTTTGCTTCTTTTTGATGGGAGCATTTTTGAATGTCCTGGTGTTCCTGACTAATTTTTAAACTTTACTGACAATTTTATACAATTTTTTTTAATTGGCTTTGTTTTTAAAGGGCAGTTAAGTTTTTAATTGATGAAATAGTAATTAAAGTTTAGACTAAGTTCGATCAAGTTTTGTTATACATTTAAAGAGAATTCTAAGAGGGATACTGAGAATCAGGCGCGTAGGAGAATCAGGATTTGGGGGACAAATCCCCCTTCGTCTTGAGAAATTTCTTCATTTTGCTAAAGCTTTTATGAAAAACTCTAAAAAATCATACACCCCCCCCCCCCTTTAAATTCATGACTACGCCCTTGCTGAGAATACAAACCTGAACCAAAACTATATTAAGTTTTTGGCATGACAGACATACAGACAGTCGTACAAACAGCCAGACAGCCTTAAAATCTGAAAGCGATACAGCCAGACTATCACACAGACAGAAAGGGAGACTCCAAGAAATCCAGAAAGCGATACAGTAAAACATCCAGAGAACCAGACAAATGAACAAACCACAAAAAATAAAGCTCACTCCATTCACTGACTACCCCAACACATTCTCTCCTACCTCCACACAAAAAAACAAATTAAACACATTTTTTTTTCTTTACAATGTTATTGAATTCAAATTCGTTGACTCATTTTTTGTTCATTGAGAAATATTTCATTGAGCAGAACAGAAATGATAAACAGATCTTGGAGGTTGTCTGGAAATTGAGAAGAATTTTTAATGTAAATAATTTTAGAGGAACTTGAATGAAAGTTGGATGATGTATTAATAGATCATGAAGTCATTGAATGGGTTATTGATAATTGCATGGAAATGGATGTAAATTTTTGGGGATGAATAATTTAGAGACTGTTGGATAAGTTTGGTGTGCCTGCTTGCGTCTTAAACTTCAAACACACAAAAAATCAAATTATCAAATTAAAAGTTGTTTAAAAACTGTTTGTCAATTGAAGCTCAATTGATTAGTCACCGACTGGAAGTAAAGCTGATCAACTGAAATTTTTTTTTGTTAATTTTCCAATTTTATTTTTAATTTTCCACTGGAAAAATCTTCTATTTTCGCTAAGACTTTTTTAACATTTCCTAAAATATCATCTTTAAACTTCCATAGCGACTCGTCCCTTACTGGATCATCTATTGACTCCTTACATTCTTTATTAGTACAGTTGACTCGATAATGTGACAACTGTCCATCTTCTCTAGCTACTCCGAATCTTTTACATTTAAAGTCATTCAGATCATCAAGACATGAGAATGGGAAGTGATTGTGGACAGTCAAGACTCTATCCATTTTCATAAAAGTCTTGGCATTTCCACCATTTTTGGTAAAGTTGTTGGCTCTGTAAATGTTTGGCAGGAAGTAAAGATTCTTTGAGATTCCAGCAATAGCTTCATTTTGATAAGAACTTTGCAGCAGGAAGTAATGATTATCAACTGGATAACAATCAAACTTTTGCTTCTTCTTCTTCCTTGATTTCTGAATTGTTCTCTTTAGTAAGTCATTCCATGTCCTATCCTCATCCCTCAATGGCATAATAAACTCATCAGTGTCCATAGGAACCATAAAATCATAGCTGTACATGTGTTCATAGAATGTGTCGTGGTACGAGATCAATTGATTCTGACTATATTGATGCCAGTTCTTTTTGCGCTCATTTTGGAAGTCACTTGGATATTTGATGAACTTGACATTCATAAAACCTTCAGATTCATAAAATTTAAGGACATTAAGGACATTTGAGTGACAAAAATGAACAAAGAATTCAACTTTATTGACACCAAGAATTTTAAGGATTTCGGACCATTCAATAATTTGTAAGGAAATGTCGTCAGTAAATTCAAATCTTTTGACAGACACGATGAATGCTTCCTTCTTGTTCCTTTTTGGTCTTTTATTCTTAACTTTCATAAGATTATTAGCACTTCCACATCTTCTTTCAACTAATGACACATGACTTGGTGGAACTGACAATGGAACTTCACATGATATTAAGTATGGACTTGCACCTTTCTTATTTGATCCCCACTTCCGGTTCCAAATGTACCTATACTCATAAATCTCAGCAACAAGTGGTTCATTGACATTTTCATACCAAAATTGACAGAAAGTTGTGACAACAGGATCAAGGACATTAATTAAGGCTAAGATTCTCACAAATGGAAGTCCATTGACATCTTTACGGTCATCATAATAAGCATTGTAAAGGTAAAAAGTTCCATTTGTTGTGTTTGTGACTTGCCAGTAAATGTCAGTAATGTTCAAGTCTGACTCGAGTGGAAATCTGCCACAGCTAAGATCAGGATTGAGGCTTGAATCATGTGGAAATGAAAAGTTTAAGTAACGTCCTTTAATAATGTCTAAAGTTTGCTGCTGATGGAACTTGAAGGATGAAGGAGTTAAGTTGGTTGAGTTGATGTATTTATGGCAATTCTTGAGGAAATCTTCGAAATCTTGGTTTGGTTCTTGGTTATTTTTGATCAGCCATTCAAATTCAACTATTACATCCCAGTTGTTAATGCTTTTGCAGAATGACTCGTCATTGTTGGGTAGAAAATTTTGATAATTGATTGAGAAAATTGATAAGTTTATCAGAGAACCGGAGATTAAAATGTAAAGGAAGATGCCAAGAAATGTTAAAATTGTGAATATTTTTATTCTTTTCAGGAGTGCCATGGTTTGTGGTCAGTACTGAAGATCATCCAATTAAAGAATCAATCAAAAATGCTGTAAAAAAATCAATCAAAATTCTAGAAAATATTTTATAAAAATCTAATGAATATTTTTTAATCCCCAAGTCGCATGCCAAAAAATCCGCTCAGTTTAGAAAATCATAAAAAAATAGTAAAAAACATTTCCCAAAAAGAAAAGGAAACAAGAATTTTCTGTTTTTAAAATAACAAAAAAAACACAGCACGTGAAGTAAAAACAGACGCTTGGATGCCTTAATTTATTTTCATTCCTCAGTTGAATCAAAATTAAATTAAAATGTTAATCTGTCAGCATTTTTTGAGATATATGAAGCAAATTTTGATGGCACGTGTAGGATAAGTTGCTGCTTTTTGATAACGAGAATGAATTATTTTGGTGGATCTATGACATTTGAGCGATTGATTGACTAAGGATGCAATTTATATATTTTTAAATATTTTTTTTAAATTTCAAAAATTTAATGGTTTTTTTAAAATTTCAAAATTTTAACGGATTTTTTAAATTTCAAATTTTTTAATCGTCTTGAATTTTCTGCATAATTTTGAACAAAATTTCAATCTAGTCACAATTTACCAACAGCTTAACCACAAACTCATTCTTATACCAACTTATAACTTACCAAACATTACAAATTTCACTCAATCAATTATTTAATGAATTTACAAAATTGAACTTTCTCGAAATATACTTTTTCCCATCGGTTTAGTAACCACAGCATTTACAACATCAATGCTTAGTCTAATATTTTATAACAGCACTAAACAGGGCTATTAATTGCTAAATATGAAGCTTTATCTTCAATTCTACGGTGAAATAAAAACAAAATTGATTAGATTGCAAATAATGCTAAGCCCCTCTTCGCATTTATCAACGTCATTAATATATAGTCTGTTATCTGGAAAGTAACGGTGATCCCCCAAATTTTAGGTAAGCTATAAATGAATACTTTCAAATAAATGCATCACACCAAAATCAAAGATTGCAAATATTTGAGGTTCAGGTGCCTTCACATTAGGTTAGCTATGTTCAGGTGCCTTCACACCAGGTTTTCTAAGTTCATGTGCCTTCACACTATGACTTTTAAATTCTAGAGCGTTCACACTAGGTTTACTAAGGTCAGGTGCCTTCACACCAGGTTTTCTATGTGCAGGTGCCTTCACACTAGGTTCTATAGGGCAAGTGTCTTCACACTAGATTTACTTAATTCAGGTGCCTTCACACTAGGTTTTCTAAGTTCAGGTGCAGTTGCCTTTAACAGGTTAACTAGGTGCAGGTGCCTGCGCACTTTATTTGCTAAGTAGAGATGCCTTCGCAATAGGTTAATTAAGTTTAGGTGCTTTGACAACAGCTTTGCTAAGTTCAGGTGCCTTAACACTAGGTTTGCTAAATTCAAATGCCTTTGCACTAGGTTTTTAAGTTAAGGTGCCTTCACACTAGGTTTTCTAATTTCAGGTGCCTTTACACTAGGTTAGCTAAGTTCAAGTGCCTTTACACAGGTTAACTAGGTTCAGGTGCCTTTGTACTTTGTTTGCTAAGTTAAGATGTCTTTACACTAGGTTTACTAAGTTCAGGTGCTTAACACTAGATTTTCTAAATTCAGGTGCCTTCACAATAAGTTTGCTACGTTCAGGTGCATTCACACTAGGTTTTCTAAGTTCAGGTGTCTTCACACCAGGTTTTCTAAGTCCAGGTGCCTTCACACTAATTTTGCTAAGTTCAGGTGCATTCACACTATGACTACTAAATTCAGGGGCGTTTGCACTAGGATTACTAAGTTTAGGTGCCTTAGCACTAGATTAGCTAAGTTCAGGTGCCTTCACACTAGGTTTACCAAACTCAGATGCTTCCAAATTAAAGTTTTCGATGTTCAGTTGCCTTTAAATTCGAGTTACTAGCCAAAATTTTCACCCTCAAAGTCAACCAGCCCACATGAATCTCAGTAAAATTCGCACGTCACACAACACAATTGACAAAAATCCAATCTCAATTTCTTTCAATGACGTTCAATCACCTTCTATTTTTGTCAAATAAGCAAATTTCCTCAATACAATAACTTTTATATAACGCGTGTGGCACCTCATGTGCCAGTTCAAGATCATTAAACAAGCTGTAAACTTGCAAAATATAACAAAACTTTTTTTTGGCATCCTGAACTGTTTTGCATCACAGCTGTCAAGATCGCGTTCGATTGTTGACTTGTACAGCAGTGAGTAAAAAAATTTTGGATGATTTAATGAGAAAAAAATACTTTTTTTTTTGGTAATTACAAATTTTAAAATTAATTAGATGTTGATGGCTAGACCATCTGGCGGTGGCATGATGATTGAGAGGAATCACAGTCGACGATGTGGAACGAAGAAAATTCAAAAATTTGGTGCCATTTCGTCTGACTTTTGAGCTTTCAAGCTTCTTTGTGAATATTTTTCTTGGTGGATTTTGATTAATGAATTTTGACAGATTTTTTGGCGGGATTTGAGGAAATTACTTACTTTATTGAGGGTTGTTGTTGGCTTTGTTCCTTAGTTGATCAATTTGTCAATCAAATTTAATGATGAATATTCGAATTATTCAATTAGAAATTAAAAATAATCAGACACGAGCTGTAGATTGATAGAAACTAAGTATCTAGAGACAACGTGTGCAATTCTGTCAATATTGAAGTGCAGTTTGTTTGCTTTTTTGATAGTTATGATAAGTGGGCAAGGCTTGTTCACTGGATATTCAATTTTAAATGCCATAACGTGTTTGTAATCTTGGGCTAGTCTCTTTGTTTCTTCAGGTTTTCCCTAGCCACATCATATTAGTACTTTCTTGGTTGCTGGCTAGCTATCTGATTAGCAATCAGCACAATTCTGTTTTGCTGATTGGATGGCTGGCTGATCAACTAATAGCGTTTACAGCTCAGCTTGTTTGGTTGAATGACTTGCTGATCAGCTTGAAGCCTTAACAGCTCTGCTTATTTGGTTGAATGGCTGGCTGCTCATCTGATAGCCTGAACAATGTTGCTTGGCTGTTGAATGGCTCGCTGCTCATCTAACAGCCTCAACAATTCTGCTTTGCTCATTGATCAGCTCATACCCTTAACAACTATGCTAAGCTGGTTTTATGGCTGGTTGATTAGCTAATAGCTATGTAGGCTTCTAGGCTGTGGTCTCAGGTTTCCTTTCAATGTTATTCTTAGCTAATTGTCTATACCTTTTTGATTTTATGTTAAAAATGATACAACGTACTTAAGATAGTAACAAATACATAGCCACGTTTTGTAAAAGAACGACCAGACTTTTATTTCTAGAAATATTTTGCATGCAAAGCTTTTAATGAATAATTCATGATTTATTAACAAAATACGGTTTGAGGCTGTATAAGATGTCCATTAAAGTCACAGTCATACTTCACTTTGATACCAGTGCAGGATACTCTTGATGGACGCACAAACTAGCCCAAGAAGCCAAATTTAATTCATCTTCCAAATCTCGAAGAAATCAACACATTCCATGCCAGTTCCAACACAATTCATCATCTCATCAAGTCCGACCAACTCGTCTTTCCAGTCAACCATGAGCTTGTATCCTTCCCAGGATGTTTACTCCTTATATGATCAAAAAGTTGTCGCTTCAGCGTAAATCCATCACTACATAAATTACAATTGTAAGGCTTCTTATTTGTATGCTGTGATAAATGCCTCTTCAGATCCGTATGTGCTGTATAACTTTTAGAACAGAATTTACAGACATAATCTCGCTGTCCAGTGTGTGTCTTCAGATGAGTATCCAAAGTTGTCTTTCTAGCAAATGCCTTATCACATTGTGGACAGACAAAGTCCTTAACATTCGAGTGAGTCTTTAGATGCGTCGTGTAATGAGTTTTCGAATACATTTTAAAGTCACAAATGTCACAATGGAATCGCTTAATTTTCAAGTGCACAACATTCATGTGATTGATGACGTGTGACTTTTGCTTAAAAATACGTCCGCATCGATCACATGTGAAGGTTTGAGGCACAAAATTGCTGGTATTGTGCTTTGTTTTTTCATGGTAGAGCAACTTTTGGCGTGTGTTGTAGTCTTGACCGCAGGCTGAGCAGAAAAATGACGACTTTTGTGGTTCGTCGACTTCAATCTTAAGTTCAATGTCAATTGGATCTGCTGGCGGTTCCACAAGTTCCTCAATTATTATCTCATCGACTGTTGGTGCTGATTCATCATCAATTTTTGATAATTCTGATAAAAATTCGTGATTTTTTCGACACAACTCAATTATTGTCTCAGCTTGAAGGAGCTTAGTCAGGCACAGCTGACAAATGAATTTTGGTGCTTTTAAAAATTCATCGATTTTAATTTGAACTAAATTTTCAATAATTTCTTTGACTTGACGGTTGTGGAACTTGCCGAAAATATTGATGAATGCTGAGTTGGATGTAAGGCAGATGCGACAGGATTTGTCATTGATTGCTGACATTTTAATTCAATATTTTATGATTTATTTTGCCTCGACGATGTGAAAAGGTAAACAAAAATAATGAAAAATTAGAGAAGAAGTTGACATTTCAGGTTACACGGTTCAGGATGTTGAATTACAGAGGTTGTCGGAGAATAATTTTGAATTTTAACGGGATTTAATTGGATTTAAATGAATTTTATACAGCATGATGATGTCTTGCGTACAGAACAAGAAAGCTTATCCTAATCACTAACATTAGAAGCTAGCAGCTTACTTTCTAAGCCATCAAACCTAATCACGATAAGCAATCTTATCGGAACTTAGTTTTTAATCCAATTTTTAAGATAAAAATTATTTGGAACTATTTTTTACAAATTGTGATTTGTTCTAGCTTGTTAGTTTAGTACTGAATGTGTAGGCTAAAGTGGTTGAGTAAGAGTTTTGCAAAAGTTTTGGTACCGGCCTTGAAATCTCCCCACACCAATTCGTAGACATCATTTGCAAACAAACCCCTAGCTTAGGATAGCGATCGATCTCCTGCTTGTTTTAACACTTGTCACAGCAACTCTGCCTTAATCTTCTTTAGATTCCAGACACAAAACTTGCAACAATGACGATACTTACTCAAAAAAGAATTTTCATATCATTATGCCTACTTGGGGCCACTATTAACATGACACTCACATTATTCTCATCAGCCTGGATTAATACTTCATTACAGCATCAACAATCACTGACTAAGAGTATGATCATGTTAAAAAATTGCCAGAATATTGAAGATCTTGAGTGGTTGCTATTCGAAAACCATCACAAAATGACCAAGTATCAAAAAGTTCACAATAAACTAAGACAAAACCTAGAAGAACTATCCAAAATCTGCCATAAATACATCAACTCAACCAACTTAACTCCTTCATCCTTCAAATTCCATCAACAGCAAACTTTAAACATCATCAAAGGAAGTTACTTGAACTTTTCATTTCCAAACGATTCAAGCTTTAATCCTGATCTAAGCTGTGGCAGGTTTCCACTCGAGTCAGACTTGAACATTACTGACATTTACTGGCAAGTCACAAACACAACAAATGGAACTTTTTACCTTTACAATGCTTATTATGATGACCGTAAAGGTGTCAATGGACTTCCATTTGTGAGAATCTTAGCCTTAATTAATGTCCTTGATCCTGTTGTCAAAACTTTCTGTCAATTTTGGTATGAAAATGTCAATGAACCACTTGTTGCTGAGGTCTATGAGTATAGGTATATTTGGAACAATGATTGGGGATCAAATAAGAAAGGTGCAAGTCCATACTTAATATCCTGCAGGGTGCCCCTAGCTGCGGCACCAAGTCATGTGTCATTAGTTGAAAGAAGATGTGGAAGTGCCAATAATCTTTTGAAAGTCAAGAATAAAAGACCAAAAAGGAACAAGAAGGAAGCATTCATCGTGTCTGTCAAAAGATTTGAATTTACTGACGACATTTCCTTAAAAATTATTGAATGGTCCGAAATCCTTAAAATTCTTGGTGTCAATAAAGTTGAAATTTCCGTCCTTAGGATACATCCGAATGTCCTTGACGTCCTCAAATTCTATGAATCTGAAGATTTTATAGCCATAAAGTTCATCAAATACCCAAGTGACTTACCAAATGACTCAACACAAAGTTGGCATCAGTTCCTGCAAAACGAGTTGATTTCATTCCATGACACATTTTATGAGAACATGTATAGCTATGACTCCATGATACCTATGGACACTGATGAGTTTATCATGCCAATTAAGTTTGAGGACAAGACTTGGATGGACCTGCTGAATAGAACAATCATGAAGTCATTAAAATATCAAAAAGACTTTGATTGCTATCCAGTTGAGAATCGATTCTTCTTGCTACAAACTGCACATCAGCATGAAAAAATTCCAGACGTTCCTGAGAATCTTCACTTCCTTCCGAATATCTACAGAGCTGCCCACTTCACTCCAAAAGGTGGAAATGCCAAGACATTTTTGAGAATGGACAAGATTTTGACAATCCATAGTCACTTTCCATTCTCATGCCTCAATAATGATGAAGATTTCAAGTGCAGTCGATTCTACGTCTCTAGAAATGACGGACAGCTTTCACATTATCGAAATGAATGCACGAAAAATGAATGTCTGGAGTCTATGGACAGTCCAGATGTTGATCTGTCATTGTGGAAATTTAAGGATCAAATTTTAAAAAATGTAAAAAATGTATTGAAAAAAATTGAAAAGTTTTCAGGTGGGAAAGTCACAATAAAGTTGGAAGAATAGCTGAAATGAAGCAGGAACGTAGTCAGGAATTTGAAAGGGGAGACAAAAAAATTTTTGTTTGAAAAGTTTTTTTTTTGGGGAAGGGGGGGGGGGGGGGGATTTAATGATATAAAAGGGGGTTTCGTTCACTTTTGCATCCAACATTTAGAGGGGAGGGTTCAAAAAATGTGTGACCCATTGTGGCAAGGCAAGGACGGGGGTGGGGGGATTTAATGGTAAAAAAACCTTATGGGCCGTTCACTCGTGGCTTCCAACTTTAGGGAGGGGGGTCATGGGGTTTGGGGGGGGTTCAAAATTGTTTTGACACACTGTGACAATGCAGGGAGGGGGGGGGGGGTGTTGACATTTGTGACAGCTTTTTGACAGTAGAGGGGTCTTAGATTTTTGATGGACGTCTTACGTACGGCCACTAGCAAAATGAAGAAATTTCTGTTGTGTTAGGGTCCAGACCCAAATTCACGAGCCCCCCCCCCCCCCCTTTGCTATGCACCTGAACTAAGGTTAAGTGAGTTTTCGTGCTAAAGCATGCAAGGTGGGTCAACTGGATGAATTGTCTTTAAATCCATGTCTAGGTCCTTAACCACGGACAATTTCAATCAATTCTATCCACATTGACACACCTTGACTTTAAAGCAATAAAAAAAACAGTCATTAAGAAAGTTTCAAGCTATAAAATCCAGCTATTTGTACACGATTTATTTATTCATCCACATTTTGCTTCTTTCCATTTCTAGTAGATGTAGTAATCTTATCGTAACTTTTATTTATGGTTTCGTGATCGATAAAAAAAAATATTTTTTTTCACGTCAGGTTTCAAGCCACAAATTCAATTAGTATGAAAAATAATTTTACTGAGCAGTTGAATTTGTGAAATGAAAGAAAATTTTTAAGGTTTTTAAGGTTGAATTGTTGGATTTTTGGAGGTTATGATTGGTAGATTGAGGTTCTTAGAGGTCAATCTGCTGGATTTTGTGGACAATTGATGGAAAAAACTGGGATTGATCGACAAACTAGTGAAATTTGAGTTAAAAGTTTCATTAAGTGCATAAAATTGAGTGTTTTTAGCAGCAATAGAAGTCAACTTACCTGAATATTGAAGCTTTGGACAACATTTTGAACAAGAAGGCATCCATTGCCCCCCAGAAATGTCACAAATTAGCTTCTAACTCAATTAAAGAACCACAAGTCTTTAAAATCACAGTTTTTAACTTAAAAGCTAGTCAAGACTACAATAAACAACTAAGGCACGCCCGACAATGCATCCAAAGAACAGAATCAACGCATTCATCATCATACTTGGCATTGGCTTCCTCTTGTACATCATAATATCTTTATTTTCATCAACAATCCTGTTTTTTGCCAACAAATACACATTACACCTACAAAAAAAAAGTCAGATCCATTCAAAAATTGAAATTATAGTCGATAAGTTAAAGCATCCTCATATAGACCCAGCTGAGCTAGACTACGAATCAACCACAACATATGAAACTACAACAATGGACTACGAAAGCTATGATGAAAGCTTCATTCTCATCAAAAATTCAACAAATTACATCAAAATGCATCCATTGGACTTTGAGATTCAACAGCAACAAACTTTAGACATTATTAAAGGACGTTACTTGAACTTTTCAATTCCAAATGATTCAAGCCTTAATCCAGACCTAAGCTGTGGCAGATTTCCACTCGAGTCAGACTTGAACATTACTGACATTTACTGGCAAGTCACAAACACAACAAATGGAACTTTTTACCTTTACAATGCTTATTATGATGACCGTAAAGATGTCAATGGACTTCCATTTGTGAGAATCTTAGCCTTAATTAATGTCCTTGATCCTTTTGTCAAAACTTTCTGTCAATTTTGGTATGAAAATGTCAATGAACCACTTGTTGCTGAGGTCTATGAGTACAGATACATTTGGAACCGGAAGTGGGGTTGGAATAAGAAAGGTGCAAGTCCATACTTAATATCCTGTGAAGTTCCTTTGTCAGTTCCACCAAGTCATGTGTCATTAGTTGAAAGAAGATGTGGAAGTGCCAATAATCTTATGAATGTCAAGAATAAAAGACCAAAAAGAAACAAGAAGGAAGCATTCATCGTGTCTGTCAAAAGATTTGAATTTACTGACGACATTTCCTTACAAATTATTGAATGGTCCGAAATCCTTAAAATTCTTGGTGTCAATAAAGTTGAATTCTTTGTTCACTTTTGTCACTCGAATGTCCTTAATGTCCTCAAATTTTATGAATCTGAAGGTTTTATGAATGTCAAGTTCATCAAATATCCAAGTGACTTCCAAAATGAGCGCAAAAAGAACTGGCATCAATATAGTCAGAATCAATTGATCTCGTACCACGACACATTCTATGAACACATGTACAGCTATGATTTTATGGTTCCTATGGACACTGATGAGTTTATTATGCCATTGAGGGATGAGGATAGGACATGGAATGACTTACTAAAGAGAACAATTCAGAAATCAAGGAAGAAGAAGAAGCAAAAGTTTGATTGTTATCCAGTGGATAATCATTACTTCCTGCTGCAAAGTTCTCATCAAAATGAAGCTATTGCTGGAATCCCAAAGAATCTTTACTTCCTGCCAAACATTTACAGAGCCAACAACTTTACCAAAAATGGTGGAAATGCCAAGACTTTTATGAAAATGGACCGAGTCTTGACTGTCCACAATCACTTCCCATTCTCATGTCTTGATGATCAAAATGACTTTAAATGTAAAAGATTCGGAGTAGCTCGAGAAGATGGACAATTGTCACATTATCGAGTCAATTGTACTAATAAAGAATGTAAGGAGTCAATAGATGATCCAGTAAGGGACGAGTCGCTGTGGAAGTTTAAGGATGAAATTTTAGGAAATGTTAGGGATGTCATTGAAAGGATAAAGAAGTACACGAAAGGAGAAGTAGACTTAAAACTGGAAGAAGTGACTTGAATATTTGTAGACAATTTTAATAAAATATAGTAAACTTAAGTCGAAATTGAGTAGTTTTAATTCAAACTTGTTTAGAATTTTGAGGTTAAGTTGCTGAATTTTTAGGTTAAATTTCTGATTTTTGAGGTTATGTTGCTGATTTTTGAGGTTAAGTTGCTGAATTTTGAGGTTATGTTGCTGGATTTTTTAGGTTAAGTTTTTGATTTTTTTGGTAAAATTGCAGAATTTTAAGTTCAGGTTGCTTAATTTTGAGGTTAGGTTGCTGAATTTTGAGGTTAAGTTGCTGAATTATGAGCTTAGGTTGCTGAATTTTGAGGTTAGATTGTTTAATTTTGAGGTTATATTGCTGAATTTTGAGGTTAAGTTGCTGAATTATGAGCTTAGGTTGCTGAATTTTGAGGTTAGATTGTTTAATTTTAAGGTTAAATTCCCAAATATCACCTTTTCAATTTTAGCATCATATCAAAAACAGAAAAATTTAACAATAATATTCAACAACTTAGTAAACACACAAATAAATCAACAATCTTAGTCATCAACGCTCAAATCTGCACGTTCTGACTTCCAAATGTTTACTTTGTCTCTCCTTCTCAATGACTTTATTTGACTCACGGCATTTAAATTCTTAATTTATTATAAAAGTCTCAATTTGATTTTTTTTTTCATCAATAATAAACTCGTTGAACTTCCGAATCGATTGTTTGTTTTGCATATGTGACTGCAGACATGGAGATTTTGATCATTTGATGGCGGTGCAAATGAAGTTAATAAGATAAATTTTGTTACGTAAATTGGATATTTTGTACGTTGATTGATTTGAATTGACAGGCGTGTACCTGTTGCTGACTGAATGAATAAGTTTTGATAGAACAATGAGTTGTTTGGTACACGTGCTAATAAGCACAAAAAAATATTAAAATGATTTTTTTGTGTTTGAGAATGCTTAAAAGTAATGAATGTTTTATTTCGATTCTATGGTTGTCATTGTTCCTCATGAGGTTGATATTAGCCATTTTGTGATGATTAGAACACGTTTCCTAACCTCAAAATGAAGATATATAACCTCAAAATATGAACTTAACCTCAAAATATGAACTTAACCTCAAAATATGTACTTAACCTCAAATTTAAGAATGATTCCCAATAGTCGCACGCTGCACACCACTCTCGTCCACCAAACTCACTCAATCCCGTCTAGACTCAAATTATATCGCATCAATCCGCGACATGCCGAATCACCCACCTCAATAAATCAAACAATCAACAACAAGTTTCCTATTCAGACAAAAGCTATAAAATTCTCTCTACAAAAGCCACCAAAATCAACAATACTCGATTATATCATTTCGACTACTCATTCAGAAAGATCAAAGTGCTATCAGACGAGACAGGAACTTTATTTCTCATTTATATTTTTTTTGATTGATGAAGAAGTAGCCATTAAATGTCATTAACCGCACACATTTTCATGTATCTTGTTGTCTATTGACAGAACGATACGCAACATTTTTGTTCTTCTTCAACTTTATCAATTCTCATGAACTGTTTGGTAACGGATCAGATTTTTTCAGAACACGTGCGACAAGTGAAACAATGTGGAGTGAAAAATTGAAAATTGAAAAAATTTTGTTCACGCATTTTTATGACAAAAAGAAAAAATTTTCATCTGAAAATGAGAAATAATTTATATTTTTTGCTGTATTTTGTTGGTGTGATGACAGCATCAAGGCTGTTTTCGTTACTGATGCGATGTTTTGAGGGTTCATGACAATGTTTTGGTTAATGAAAGCATTAGCTCACTTTTCAGAATTCTAACCTCACTTTTCAGGAACCTAACCTCACTTTTTTGAGAACTTAACCTCACTTTTTGGAGAACTTAACCTTAATTTTCAGGAACTTTCAGAAACCTAATCTCAAAACCAGGAACTTAACCTCACTTTTCAAAATTCTAACCTCACTTTTCAGGAACCTAACCTCACTTTTTTGAGATTTTAACCTCACTTTTTGTAGAACCAAACCTTAATTTTTAGGAATCTAACCTCACTTTTTGTATAACCTTACCTCAATGTTCATGAACCTAGCCTCACTTTTCAGGAACCTAACCTCTCTTTTTGGGGAACCAAACCTTAATTTTTGGAGAACCTAACCTCACTTTTTAAAGAACTTAAACTCACTTTTCAGAAATCTAACCTCAATTTTTCGAAACCTAATCGCGCTTTTCAGGAATCAAACCTCAAATTTCAGAAACCTAACCTCACTTTTTGTCAAACCTAACTTCAATCTTGAGGAATCTTATCTTACGACAACTACCGACTAGATACCCCAGCCCCATCATACAAAAAAGAAACATTGATCAAACAATTTCTTCTTAACTTTTCATTTTTCTTTAAAACAATTTTTCATCATTTTCTTATTTTCTCGAAACATTTTTCCTCATAAACCTCAAGAAGAAAAGTCTCTGCATGTGTTCCTTTTGCCTTCTTATTTGACTCGCTGACGTTTTTTCATAATATTTTCACGACAGTTTTCACTTTTTCTTTACTTTAATCTCTTTTATTTGAATGAATGACTTCATTTTCGGCAGCAAAACAGTCTCATGCAGAGACACTTAATTGCCTTGATTAGTCAGCTTTTATTTATAATAAAAAAACATTTAAAATGCTCGTCATACTCAATTAAAGACACGTTTTGTGTTGAACTAGATTTGTCTTTAAGATTAATAGTAATTGAATTCATGTTGAAAGCTAAATCGATGGGAACCCTTCAGCTTCTTGATGATTTGGAATTGGAAAAAAGGGAAAATATTCAATTTCTATAGAATTAAATTTGAGAGTTGGGGGGAGAAATTCTAAGAAGGAAAGTGAATAGAAAATTGAAAATTATGTAAAAAAAAAGGTTCGGATGATATGAGATGTTAAAAGGAAGAAAATTGGAAGCATTATAGGATATTTTATGAAAATTATTTTCCAATTTTCAGTTTATATTTTTTTGGGCAATTGAATATTTAAGTGTATGGATTGTGCTTAAAGTGGTTGGATTGATGCAAATTGGAAGCGAATATTTTAGGTAAGATGTGATTTAACCTAAAAATTTCGTGACATAACCTCGGAATTTAGCAACTTAACCTCAAAATTCGAAGTTTTAACCTCGAAATTTTGTGATTTTACATCAAATTTTGTGATTTAAAATCAAAATTCATAGACTTAACCACAAAATTCAAAGACTTAACCTCAAAAATCATAGACTTAACCTCAAAAATCATAGACTTAACCTCAAAAATCATAAACTTAACCTTAAAATTCATAGACTTAACCTCAAAATTCATAGACTTAACCACAAAATTCATAGACTTAACTTCAAAATTCATAGACTTAACCTCAAAATTCAAAGCCTTAACCTCAAAATGCATAGACTTAACCTCAAAATTCATAAACTTAAGCTTAAAATTCATAGACTTAACTTCAAAATTCATAGACTTAACCTTAAAATTCAAAGCCTTAACCTCAAAATTCTTAGACTTAACCTCAAAATTCATAGACTTAACCTCAAAATTCAGACTTAATCTCAAAATTCATAGACTTAAAATCAAATTTTAGTAGTTTAACCTCAAAATTTAAAGTCAACCTCAAAATTTGAAGTCTTAACCTGAATTTGGTGATTTGAACTCAATTTTTGATGACTAAAGTTAAATCATGAAAAAATGAGGTTAAATCATCAAAAAATGAGGTTAAATCACCAAATTTTAAGTTCAAGTTACCAAATCTTAAGGTTAAGTCAACCAATTTTTGACGGTGCGTCACTAAACCTCAAAAATCAAAACATAATATGCGCTTTAGCCAATCTCAATCAACACGTGACTTTCTTACTTTTAACTATCTTCCTTCCTAGAAGAATATCCAAATCCTTTCAATAAATTTCATCCACGTGGACTTAATGGATTGTCCAAAAATACATAATAACATGAAAATCGCTCCATTCAATTCCGACCCCACTTAGTGGCTCCTCTCGTCCATCTTTCCTTATAAAAACTATTAATCATAACGATACAGCACATTTCCATGTCTAAAAATATCTCATCCCGCAGCCGCTTTCACATTTTTCCATGAATAATTCACAATCAATTTCCTGAATTTGTCACATTCAACTCATTATTATCATTTAAATGATATCACTTTTTTTTTTCATATTCCATACGCCGCAATTCAAATACAGATGATAAAGGCATTGGCGGTGACAAACTTGTTGATTTTTTTTTTATATCTGAATGAAAAAGAGGTGATGTTCACTCGTAGGAATTTCGAGGACGAAAAGGTGTTTTGGATTTTTTATTTTTTTTTTTTTTGATAAGAATAACTTTTTTGTGATCATCACACAATAAGGTTTTGAATACAGCACATAAGATGATGTTATTTGCTAGATTAATGAGTCAACAAATTGAGGGAAAATGTATAAAAATATTATTTTAATTTCAGTTGTTGTTTTAATCGAGTAATTCGAAGAAAACAAAGACAGAAAAATAAGGTAGACGTGATGTTGTTCAGGATGATGAAATGAGCAGCTATTGTTGCGGTTTCATTGTGATTTTGAATTGATTTGTTTTTGATCTTTCTGACGATTTCTTGAAATTTTCCTAAAGTTGTCTAAACTGAACTACAGTTGTCCAAGAGGATCTAATTAAGCTCGACCAAGGAAGATCCGGTTCAATGCGATCCGAGAGGATCTAATTCAGCTCGATCCGAGAGGATCTTATTCAGCTCGACCCAAGAGGATGGAATTCAGCTCAACCCAAAAGGATCTAACTTAACTCGACCCAAGAAGATCTAATTCAGCTCGCCCCGAGAGGATCGAATTCAACTCGACCCAAAAGGATCGAATTTAGTTTAACCTAAGAAAATCAGACTTAACGCAACCCGAGAGGATCTAATTAAGCTCGATCCAAGAGGATCGAATTCAGCTCAATCCGAGAAGATTTGATTCAGCGTGACCCGAGAGGAACAAACTCAGCTTGACTCGAAAGAATTCTATTCAGCTCGACCTAAGAGGATCGAATTCAACTCGACCCAAAAGGATCAAATTCAGTTTAACCTAAGAAAATCAGACTTAACGCAACCCGAGAGGATCTAATTAAGCTCGATCCAAGAGGATCGAATTCAGCTCAATCCGAGAAGATTTGATTCAGCGTGACCCGAGAGGAACAAACTCAGCTTGACTCGAAAGAATTCTATTCAGCTCGACCTAAGAAGATCGAATTCAACTCGACCCAAAAGGATCAAATTCAGTTTAACCTAAGAAAATCAGAGTTAACGCAACCCGAGAGGATCTAATTAAGCTCGATCCAAGAGGATCGAATTCAGCTCAACCCGAGAAGATTCGATTCAGCGCGTCCCGAGAGGAACAAACTCAGCTTGACTCGAAAGAATTCTATTTAACGGGAGTTTTGCTGAAGTTTTCTGAACTGACTCAAAACCTCTATATCAAATCTAATAATATCAAAAAGAATCAAGTTCAATACTACAACCCAACATTCCACAAAATCAATCTCAAATTCCTTTCCTACAATTTAAAATAAATCAACCATAAATAACATCTCAGCTGCTCAAACAAAGAAAATTCTTTTCATCATCATCATTGCCCTTTCTGTGAGCTCCAAATGATCTAGAAAAAGTCACATATTTCTTGCTATTTATAAATTTACATCATCATTGGCTGTCATTCGGTTATTCACTTAGTAACAGCATCGAGTCGTCCATCATATTTCCTTTACATCATCTTTGAAACAATCAACAGCGACTAAAAGTCTCACAAAAATTTTTTTTTAAAAATAAAATAAATTTTTCCTCACAGAAATAGAGCAAAAGTGATCTCAGCTAGTGACGGGTTTTTCCAACCCTCTTACATCAGCTCAATAAATCTTGTGCCAACAAAAAAAAAGTCATTAAAATTTAACAAGAGCAGAAAATTATCCGCAAGGAAGGCAAATTTGCGAAAAACAAGATGATGAAAGTTTTCCTTTTAATTTATATCGACCGGTGCTGTGTGTGGGATATAAATATTGCAATAGATGCCAGTGTCATGCAATGAAAGTGAAATAATAAAAATGAAAATAAAATTTTCTTAATATTTTTATTTCACTTTTTGTTTTCATAAATATTATTTGCTGTCTGTGGGTGATGATTTTGTGGTTATAAATAATTGGATGATGGGAGACTTTCTGTCGTAAATGTAATTAGTCGAGTTAAATCTAGTTGAGTTTGAGTTTGAGTTTGCGTCGAGCTGAGTCAGATCCTCGGGTCGAGTTGAGTTGGATCCTCTCAAGTATAGCTGATTTATATCCTCTCAGGTCGAGCTGAGTTATATCCTCTCGGGTCGAGCTGAGTTATATCCTCTCGGAACGAGCTGAGATTGATCCTCTTGGATCGAGCTGAGTTATATCCTCTCGGAACAAGCTGAGAATGATCCTCTCAGGTCGAGCTGAGTTATATAATCTCGGGTCGAGTTGAGTTAAATCCTCTCAGGTCGAGCTGAGTTATATCCTATCGGGTCGAGCTGGCCTAGATCCTCTTGGGTCGAGCTGAGTTAAATCATCTCGAGTAGAGCTGACCTAGATCATCTTGGATCAAGCTGAGTTAAATCCTCTCAGGTCGAGCTGAGTTTGATCCTCTCGGGTCGAGCTGAGTTTGATCCTCTCAGGTCGAGCTGAGTTATATCCTCTCGGAACAAGCTGAGATTGATCCTCTCAGGTCGAGCTGAGTTATATAATCTCGGGTCGAGCTGAGTTAGATCCTCTTGGATCAAGCTGACTTAAATCCTCTCAGGTAGAGCTGAGTCAGAACCTCTCGGGTTAAGCAAGGTTAGATCCTCTTTGGTCGAGCCAAGTTAAATCTTCTTGATTAGATTTGACACGTTTAAGTTTGATATAAAAACACTTTAAACCACAAACAATGTAGAAAAACATCAACACACTTACCTCATCATAGAACAAGAAGAAATTTCCTTACAACAAACAAACCAATTCTCATTTTGATCAAAAATCAATGTCTGAAACTAAATCAAGTGTTCTTGAGTCTGAGGTTGAAAAATTCACAATCTATGCTTCAAAATGGTGGGAATCGAAAAAGAAAACAAAATTCTTGCTTCAAACAATTGAAGAAGTCAGAATTCCGTTGGTTAAAAGTGGACTTACTGATGCCGGCTTGATAAAAGAAGCAAATCAAGACAAGTCGAACATGTTTGAAGGAATAAAGATCCTAGATGTGGGATCTGGTGGAGGTAGAATGGCTGAACCATTAGCAATAATGGGCGCTGATGTCACCGGAGTCGATCCAACTAAAGAAATGGTTGATGTCGCCAAAGAGCACCTCAAAACCCACGAAAATCTCAAAATTGACTACATTTGCGACACAATCGAGAACTACAGCGTCAATAACAAGGAAAAATTTGACGCTGTGACTATTTTTGATGTAACTCAACATGTCAAAGATGTCCATCAGCTTCTTAAAGCCAGTGTAGATTGCCTTAAGCCAGGAGGTCGAGTTTTCATCACAACATGGAACAAAACCTTTATCGCATGGTTCTTTTTGATCTTTTTGTTTGAATGGCTTCTTGGAATCTTCCCACGTGGTGCTCATGACTTTAAATACTTTATATCACCTGATAAGATCTCTGGATATTTGGAGGAGTTCAATTGTAAAACTGTTGAAGTTAAAGGCTTTTGGTATAATTTATGGAATAAGAAGTGGAGCTTTACGTGGTACACTGGAGTGTTTTACACGATGCAAGCTATAAAGGAGGCTTAAGGACTGGATAAATGTGAATTTTGATGTGTTTTGCTTGGGATGATCATCATGTTGAGTTATCAGAATGAGTTTTGAACTATGAAGTGCTGTAAAATTGAATAAATGACAAAAACTAAGTTTTAACTTTGTGTATTTATATGATTTGAAGAGATTGTTGATGACTAGATAAGCAAGGCAGGATTTAGTTTGATATGAAAGACTGATCAGCACTAAAGCTAGTCTTGCCACCTGCTTGAAGCTTTCAGAGGACTGTTTTGATCAATCTATTCAATTATCCTGTAGTTTTTTTTGGCTTAAAACGTCCAAACTGGCCCTAAAACTGCCTAAAATTGAAAAATATCTAACGACCTTACCCAAACTTCAACCTAGCTCAGTCTAGGCTCCTTCATTGTGATTCGTCTAAAGTTTACCATTTCCTGCCGGACAATAGATGCACCTAAGTGACCATACTAATTAAAATACACCTGTCATCCACATTAACTCCCCAAAAAATCCAACAAAAACATAAGAAACCATTAACAACACAACAAGTAAACAAAAAAAAAGCATTCTCACCTCAAATTGACACCAAAAAATTCTCTCACAGTAAACAAATCGCACCTTAATTTTGAGAGAACAGACAAAAAAGTTTCTCATTTTCTCTCGTTTCCATGAAGATGTCTCTCGAAAAAAAATTAAGTAAACTGTAGCTCAGTCACATTAAAAATATAAACAGTAAGCTGCAGTCTCTCATGTTTACGAGAGAGTTTGTTACTTAATCTTTGTGTATTTCATCAATTTTGCAGATTATTTCATTGAATTTAAACATGTCGGAAGTCAAATCAAGTGTTATTAAGACTGAAATTGAAAGATTTTCTCAGCATGCAGCTGAGTGGTGGAATCCAAATGGAAGGATGAAGTTGCTGCATCAAATGATACCGGCAATTCGTATTCCGTTGATGAAAAGTGGACTTTATAATGCTGGCTTGGTAAAAGAAGAAAACAAAGGCAAATCAAACATGTTTGAGGGGATTAAGATACTGGATGTTGGATCTGGTGGTGGATTGATGGCTGAGCCGATGGCTTTGATGGGTGCTCAAGTCACTGGAGTTGATCCAACAGAAAAACTCATCGATGTCGCTAATGAGCATGTTAAGATCCATGAAAATCTCAAAATAAACTACATCTGTGACACTGTTGAGAATCACAGCATCAATAATAAGGAAAAATACGACGCTGTGACATTCTTCGATGTAGCTGAGCATGTCGCTGATGTCCGTCAAGTCTTAAAAGCCAGCGTTGAATGTCTCAAGCCAGGAGGTCGAATCTTCATCACAACATGGAACAAAACATTTATGGGCTGGTTCTATGGCATTTTCTTACTCGAATGGGTCTTTGGAATTGTTCCACGAGGTGCACATGACATCAAGCTGTTCATATCTCATGAGAAGATCTCAGAATATTTGAAGGAATTCAACTGCAAGACTCTTGAGGTTCGTGGATCATGGTATAGCTTGTGGAAGAGAGATTGGAGCTTCACATCTTACACTGGAGTATGGTACGCAATGGAAGCCGTAAAGGAGAAATAACAATTGTCAAGTTTGTGCACAGTAACAATGATTGTCGACTTGCTATCTTCATTTTTATCACTGCCCTCATGAACTGTTACTGATATCAACCTATGACACCATACTCGAGTATTAACAACACAACTGATAAGAAACTTTTATCAATTTTTTTAAAATTTTTATTCTATTTTTAAAGTATTTGTGATTTGGTGACCTTTTTGGAGGTCAAGAAATGATTTTATATTATAAGTTGTGATTGGCTGTCATTCCTAGAATATTAATAAAAATTATTATTTTTTTTTTGGAATTTTATTAATTTTAAATTATCTAATTAAAAGCATTGGGGTTGCCATACTCTAGATCTCATCCGATTTGGAAGACCTGGCTCAACTGTTTGGATAGGGACAAGATACTTACCAATGATGAGCTTGCCGATCCTATCATCATTCAAAGTCCCTCTGTTCTGGGCTGTCCAACTGCGCACTATTAAGCGGGACTGTTCAGCTTCTTTAAGCAAATATCTACAAAAACCGATGTACAGCCAACTCTTATCTGGTATCAAGCGCGTAGGCAGGGGAGGTGGGAGATTTGGGGGACAAATTTCCCTTCGTATTGAGAAATTTCTTTATTTTGCTAGAGTTTTTATGAAAAACTCGAAAAAAATCCCCCCTCCCCACTAAAAGTTTTTCATACAAAAAAACAAAATCCCCCCCCTCTTCAAATTCCGGGATAGGCCCTGTCTGGTATATTAATGTCTTGTGGCTACTGGATCATCGTTTTGCTAACTTTAGTATCAAGTAGATCTAGTAGATCGGCAATGTTCAATAGATGTCTATTAAAAAACATATACCTGACCTTTCAACAGCGGCACTAGCCCCAATAAAATACCTTTTTAATTGATTTATAAAAAAAAACATTTATTAAACATTCTTGGAAATGACAGCGAATCAAAACAAACATTTCATCTTAGTAATTTCAACCTCAATTGACCCAAGTTTTAGCAAAATTAAAGAGCCTTATCAAGAGCAACACGTTGACAACAAATCTTATTTCTCCTTCACAGCCTGCATAGCATAAAATACTCCAGTGTAAGAGGTGAAGCTCCAAGATCTCTTCCAAATGCTGTACCAAGTTCCCTGGACCTCAATTGACTTGCAGTTGAATTCTTTCAAATATTCAGTGATCTTTTCTGGTGATATGAACAGCTTGATGTCATGTGCACCACGTGGTACGATCCCAAAGACCCATTCGAGTAAGAAGATGCCATAGAACCAGCCCATAAATGTTTTGTTCCATGTTGTGATGAAAATTCGACCTCCTGGCTTAAGACATTCAACGCTGGCTTTCAAGACTTGACGGACATCAGCAACATGCTCAGCTACATCAAAGAATGTCACAGCGTCGTACTTTTCCTTGTTATTGATGCTGTGATTCTCAACTGTATCACAGATGTAATCAATTTTGAGATTTTCGTGGATCTTAACATGCTCTTTGGCAACTTCGACTAGCTTCTCAGTTGGATCGACTCCAGTGACTTGAGCACCCATCAAAGCTAATGGTTCAGACATAAGACCGCCACCAGATCCAACATCCAGTACTTTAATTCCTTCAAACATGTTTGGTTTATCCTTGTTTTGTGGTTTAACCAAGCCAGCATTAGTAAGTCCATTTTTCATCAACGGAATTCGAATCGCAGGTATCATAGTATGAAGGAGATGGATCATGCCATTCGGATTCCACCAATCAGCTGCAAATTTTGAAAACATTGCGACTTCAGAGTCAATTACACTGGATTTATTTGCCGCCATGTTTATATTGTATGAAATATTCAACGAAACTAATGAAATATGAACAAGATTAAGTAACAGCTCTCTTGAAAGAAATACACGAGAGACTGCAGATTGCCGTGTATGTTTTTTTTAAGTGAATGAGCAAATTTGAGTGAATTCCTTTTTGTCAAAATATGAGCAAGTGAGAAACTTTTGGTTGTTTTGCTCTCATTATGGAGTTGACTTGAGTGATGAGGCAAATGAGCTTAACAACCTTGCGGGGGGTAAACATGGGAAAAAGAGGGAGCTCATCAACCCCTTCACCCCCTCCTACAATAAAAAGAACAACTTTTATCACAAAACAACAATTTTTATTCATTCAAAAATCCTTTTAAAGCTACTAAATTGCCTCATTCCTCTTTAACAGCTTCCATAGCATACCAAACTCCAGTATAAGAAGTAAATCCCCAATCCCTCTTCCATAGACTGTACCAAGCTCCCTTAACTTCTACAGTCTTACAATTGAACTCTTTTAAGTACTCGGATATCTTTTCTGGTGATATAAACATGCTGATCTTATGAGCACCAGCTGGAACAATCCCAAGTATCCATTGAAGTAGGAAGATGCCATAGAACCAGCCCATAAATGTTTTATTCCATGTTGTGATGAATATTCGAACACCTGGCCTTAGATTCTCAACACTAGCTTTCAAGACTTGATGGACGTCTGCAACATGCTCAGCTACATCGAAGAATGTCACAACATCATATTGTTCCTTATTATTGGTACTGTAGTTCTCAATTGTGTCACAAATGTAGTCAATTTTCAGATTTTCGTGGGTTTTAAGGTGCTCTTTGGCAACTTCAACTAGCTTCTCAGTTGGATCGACTCCAGTGACTTGAGCACCTAACAGTGCAAGTGGTTCAGCCATCAATCCACCTCCAGATCCAACATCCAGTATCTTAATTCCTTCAAACATGTTTGACTTGCCTTTATTTGCTTCTTTGACTAGTCCAGCATTAGTTAATGCTTTCTTCATAAATGGAAGTCGGATTGCTGGAATCATTTTGTGCAGCATGTAGCACCTTCCATTTGGATCCCACCATGTATGAGCATAAGTTGAATATCTATCAACTTCTGATTTAATAACACTCGATTTAAGTTCCGTCATTCTTATTTTTTGTGAAATATTCTGCAAAACTTATGAATTATGCACGTGGTTAGGTACAAAAATATTCTTGATTAATGTGAGAGACCGTAGGTTGAAGTTGAACTTTTATTGTGAACGAACAGACTTGACTTAGTTTTTGAGGGATTTTTTTCTTTATCAAAATAAATGTCGGTGAGATGTTTCGCTCTTTTATTAAAACTGTGAGAATTCAGAGAGAGAACTTGCTCTTCTTTTCTGCTCAGGTAAAAGAGTTGAAATTTGGTCAATGTTTTTTGATTCAATGTTTAATGAGAATTCTGAAACCTAGTATATGGTTTATCTTAGATGACAAAATATGAAAGCTTAACTCAACATGACCTAATCTTTAAGCTAGACCTAAGATGACCAAATTTCGTGCTCGACCCAAGATGACCAAATTTTTAAGCTTGATCCAAGTGAAAATTTTTTAAGCTACAATAAAAGAATCCAAGATGATAGAAATGTTAAGCTCGACCCAAGATGACCAAATTTTGAGCTCGACCCAAGATGACCAAATTTTGAGCTCGACCCAAGATGACCAAATTTTTAAGCTTGAACCAAGTGAAAAATTTTTAAGCTATAACAAAAGAATCCAAGATGAAAGAAATGTTAAGCTCGACCCAAGATGACCAAATTTTGAGCTCGACCCAAGATGACCAAATTTTTAAGCTTGAACCAAGTGAAAAATTTTTAAGCTATAACAAAAGAATCCAAGATGAAAGAAATGTTAAGCTCGACCCAAGATGACCAAATTTTGAGCTCGACCCAAGATGACCAAATTTTTAAGCTTGAACCAAGTGAAAAAATTTTAAGCTATAATAATAGTATCCAAGATGAAAGAAATGTTAAGCTCGACCCAAGATGACCAAATTTTGAGCTCGACCCAAGATGACCAAATTTTGAGCTCGACCCAAGATGACCAAATTTTTAAGCTTGAACCAAGTGAAAAAATTTTAAGCTATAATAAAAGAATCCAAGATGAAAGAAATGTTAAGCTCGACCCAAGATGACCAAATTTTGAGCTCGACCCAAGATGACCAAATTTTTAAGCTTGAACCAAGTGAAAATTTTTTAAGCTATAATAAAAGTATCCAAGATGAAAGAAAAGTTAAGCTCGACCCAAGATGACCAAAAGTTTAAAGCTTGATCCAAGATGACCAAATTTTAGTCGATATTGATATCTCGATTTAATTTCAACTTTTCAAATTTATCATAAGCTGGCACGTGTAGTTTAATATTTACCAAAATCTTTTCTTCATCAACAGGACTTTTTTGGCATTTAACCTTGAAATAACCAGTTTTTGTTTACATTTACAATTTTCTAAAAAAAAATAGGATAGAATAAACAACTCATTATGAGGATACATTAGACAATAAACAAATCAGTTTTCACTTTTTCTTGTTTTTTTTTCTTTAACTTGATCGTATTACAGTAAGCCTGACTCAGATGACCTTGACGGTTTGTGGTGTGAAATTCGTTGTTGTTGTTTATTCCTAAACCTAAATTAATGTGTGATTGATATTGTCATGAGGAAGCTTTTCGTGGATTGTGGTTAAGATGACGTCAAATGACTTTTCTGAAATCAAAACCAAAAAATATTAAATTCTGCAAATTAAAGTTAATTAAAGCTAATCAAAATATTATTAAAAACCAGTCACATGCTAGATAATTTTGCAGTATAAGTAAACAGATTTTTATTGGTTATAATTGATATTTGAGTACATAATTATACATTTATAGTAAATATTGAATAAAATGCTTATAAAAGTAGATGTTAAGGGAGGTTCGGATTAAGAATTTGTAATTTTATTAATGTTAAATTTTATTTGTTTGGTTTTAATTTATTTTTATAAGAATTTTAAACTCCTGTGTCCAAGAAGTTCCCTGTGAACACTCTGACCAAGCCCGTGCTGGCTAATGAAGCTTTAGTCAACTTTCGCATCATTTTGATTTGCCTTTAAATAGTAAATGATGAGTACAATATTAATGAAACAAAAAATTGACCCCAATGCTGTTAAAATCCACTTTAAATATCGATTTGGATTATGATCGACTTGAATTGGACTATTTTTGTTGTTGAGGCATAATGTTTGGTAGTCCGAGTCAATCATTTTAATGTTGGTTAAGTCAAATTTCTTAATTCTGGCATTTAAAATCGAAGAACTTGAAAACTTTGAATTACGAAGACGAGATTGAAAATTGTTCAGTTCGCTGATCAAAGTTGGAAAATGTTTTAATGTCTTGCAGAAGCTTTTTTCCAGTATTATTAGTTCATTGTTAATTTTTAAGTATTCACTGTTGTAATAATTTACTTTTGCTTGACTGATGACTTCTTTTAATGCTGTTTGATTGTTTTCAGCATCCATGTTGATGCATGTGTTTTTATGAAGCCACAACGAAGTCAATTTATTTAAATTGTCAAAAACTTGTGAGCCAATGTGAATTATTTTATTGGAACAAAAATCAACATATTTTTTTTTTTGGTTTGTATTTCATTTTATTTGTAAGTAGCCAAATGGCTGTGTTACAAAATTAAATCATATTTGGCTACATAGTGCATTTTATTCTTAAGAATTATTATTATTATTATTATTAGCATCACAATACGTCTTATAGAAATATTCTTTAACCCTAGATTTAAATAAACTAATTGAGAATTTGTTCTTATCTGTCTGCTCAAGAGAATTGTATATTTCAATTCTGGATTATAAGCAAACAATCCATCCTCAAGAAATTCAATGTCATTTTCTTACAAGCTAAGAATCACCAACTTTATAAAAGACCTCAAATCACTTTGCTTAATTTCCTTCAGACGACCTTCCCAGATCCTAATCATTTTGAGATTAGTGAAAATATTGTCCAAATTACTTGGATTATATTTTTGATAAATTAATTTCCATCTCCATAATTGACTTCAATTTTTAATGCCAAAGTCCTCAAAATATTAATTTCATTATCAAATAAGTCACTAAATAATGAGTTGCAGCTTATCAATTTCGCCTTCACTCGTCATTCATTCGTCATCGCCAGATTTTAAATTGTGAATGACAAACAAGATCATTAATCAAATTATAAGGCAGAGTTGCGAAACAGGCACCTGTGACAGGTGAGAACCCTACAATTCCTTGATAATTTATAAGGTTTTTCTAACAAAACCATACAAATTATCAAGGAATTGAACGGTTCTCACCTGTCACAGGTGGCCTGTTTCGCAACTCTGTTATAAGGAAAAAGAAAATGCGCTAAAAATTGAAAAATAATTTAATTGACGTAAATGATCGTAATTTTTTTTTTTTATTTATTTCAATTGGACGAGGTTGCATAATTCAAATAGAAATGGCTGGCTGATAAACAACAAAATTGCGAAGCCTGCAAAGGGGCCGTTTACTTATGACGTCTGACATTTAGGGGGCAGGGGGTCTAGGATTTTGTGACAGTTCAAACGATGGAAATTTTTTTCTATAGAATTTTTGTGACAGAGGGGGTGAGGGGGATCTAAAAATCAGGTTTTTTGATGGACGTCATAAGTGGACGACCCCAAACGTGATGACAAACATTTGCAATATTTTATTTAGAGATAAAAAAATATATTTTTCTTTTTGCTGGGGCATGGAAACAAAGCCATTTGGCTGAATTTATTATTTGTTTATTAATTTTGGTGTTTTGTGATTTATTACATCTGTGAGACATGTTGGATATTAATTTTTGCCACATGTGCTGCTCTTTTTTTGGGGGGAGCATATGGTGTTTGTGTTTTTTGGTATTGATTGAGTCATTTTTAGATTTTATGGAAATTTACTGGGTTTGATGTTTTGATTTTGTTGTGATTCGGGATCATTTTGATGAATTTTAGGTAGACTAGGATAAAATCTGCTAGAATTCAAGTCTTGAGCCAAAGTTTTGAAATAATCCGCTAGAATTCTGGTCTTTAAGCTAGAGTTTTGACAGAATTCTGGTCACTGAATCAGACTTTTGGCAATATCCGCTAGAATTCTGGTCTTTAAGCTAGAGTTTTGACAGAATTCTGGTCACTGAGTCAGACTTTTGGCAATATCCGCTAGAATTCTGGTCTTTGAGCTAGAGTTTTGACATAATCCGTCAGAATTCTTTACATTTCTGATCACTTTCCCTTAAGTTCCATCATTCAGTTTCCTATTTAAATCTCTACATTCAATAAGCAATCACTCATGTAACAAACTTACAACCTCTGACAAGGAACAGACATTAAAGCTACAATATAAATTAGAAAAACAAAATCTCTTTCTTCGTCACGTCAAATGACGTCGATACAATTGAAAAATAATAATTTTATTGGCTTCCACTCGAAAATAATTCACTCGACACAACAACTTCTCATCTTCTCTAAACCCGGAATCCATAAAAACTTCCTCAATCTACCGTGAAAATTAAACAAGCAAATTAAAAAAAAAATCTCATAAATTTTCACTTTCATAAAAAGAAATCACAATTCAAGGACATGTCATTGGGAAGATCATTAACCAACATTTTTTTTTTCATCATCAAATTCGCAGAAAATTTTCGTCTCTAAAATAATATTTTCTTTTCTTTTCCTTCTCGGCTGAGTGCCAAAAATAAAAAAATACATTCAAATTGATATCAAAAGTGTTTCAGCTTCAGTTAAGTCAAGAATGAGCACTTGAACTGGCTAAAGACATCACAACATCACAAAAATGCTTGCTAATTTCTCTCATGTGTGGGTGGAAAGCTGACTTGCATTGTGTTGACGTGTCTCGAGACATTTTACTGTACAGATGTCGGGCGATATAAAATTTATGAGGACTAAAATTTTTTTTTATTCTATTTTGATTACGTGAATTTTGACGTCATTTTTGTTGTCCTCAATTATTATTTTTTTTGTTGTTGTGGAAAATGTTATCAATAATATTTTTATTCAGATTTTTGAATCAATTATTGAATATTAAAAAATGTTTACCTGAACTTTCTGACAATTTTATGAATTAAGCTAGTGTGAAGACACCTGAATTAGGTAAACCTATTGTTAAGGCACTTCTTTTTTGGATCATTAGTGTAAGTGCACCTGATCCTACAACTCAACAGTAAAGTCACCTGAACACTAGTGTGAATGCACCGGAACATAATAAACCTAGTGTGAATGCACCTGAACACAATGAAACTAGTATAAATGCACCTGAACACAATGAACCTAGTGTAATTGCACCTGAACACAATAAACCTAGTGTGAATGCACCTGAACACAATGAACCTAGTGTGAATGCACCTGGACACAATAAACTTATAGTGAATGCACCTGAACACAATGAACCTAGTGTGTACGCACCTGAACACAATGAACCTAGTGTGAATGCACCTGAACACAATGAAACTAGCATAACTGCACCTGAACACAATAAACATATTGTGAATGCACCTGAACACAATGAACCTAGTGAGAATTCACCTGAACACAATGAACCCAGTGTGAATGCACCTGAACAAAACGAACCTAGTGTGAATGCACCTGGACACAATAAACTTATAGTGAATGCACCTGAACACAATGAACCTAGTGTGTACGCACCTGAACACAATGAACCTAGTGTGAATGCACCTGAACACAATGAAACTAGCATAACTGCACCTGAACACAATAAACATATTGTGAATGCACCTGAACACAATGAACCTAGTGAAAATTCACCTGAACACAATGAACCCAGTGTGAATGCACCTGAACAAAACGAACCTAGTGTGAATGCACCTGACCACAATGAACCTATTGTCAATGCACCTGAACATAATAAACCTAGTGTGAATGCACCTAAACACAATAAACCTAGTGTGAATGCACCTGAACACAATGAACCTAGTGTGAATGCACCGGAACACAATAAACCTAGTGTGAATGCACCTGAAAACAATTAACCTGGTGTGAGTGCACCTGAACACAATGATCGTAGTGTGATTGCACCTGAACACAATGAACCAAATGTGAATGCACCGGAATATAATGAACCTAGTGTAAATGCACCTGAAAAGAATGAACCTAATGCAAATGCACCTGAACACAATGAACCTAGTGTAAATGCACCTGAACACAATAAACCTAGTGTGAATGCACCTGAACACAATGAACCTAGTGTGAATGAACCGGAACATAATGAACCTAGTGTGAATGCACCTGATCACAATGAACATAGTGTGAAGACAACTGATTTTAATGAACACAGCGTGAATAAACTTGAACCTTAGAAACACTATTGTGAAGGAATAGTCTAATGTGAAGGCACTAAAACCACAAAAATCTAATGTGAAGATACCAGAACAACAATAACTCTAATGTAAAGACATGATTGTGAAAAAAATCTCGTGTGAAGACACCTGAACCTCAAAATTTCGTAAATCTTTCATCGAAGTTTGGCAAAACCTTGAAAATTCAATAAAAATTATAAAATGAAAAATATATAAAATAATTACGAAATCAAAATATTTTTGCTAACTTCAATAATAAATTATTTTATTATTAAAACAATGTTTTTGTTGTAGAACAGCATTTTATTGTTTTTATTACTTGTTGGCAATGTAAACTTGGTAAAATGAAGTTGTTTTTATTTTTGTGAAGAGAAGTTGGGCATGAGGATGAGGGGAAGGGGGTATAGAAGTAAAATATGAGAGATTTTGGGTCATTTGAGTTGATTTTTAGTAAATAATGATGAAATTTGGCAAAAATCTGATTCCATTAACTAAGATTCTAGCTTAAATCATCAAAATTGAACTGATTTTCAAAGATTGTGTCATAAAATTTTCAATAATTGTCATAAAACTCATCAAACCTCAGCCATTCGACAGACGACAACCTTTCCATTCCTGACCACCTCAACGATAAAACCTTTAAACTCATCAAATTCCAATTTTAATACCTCAAAAGCTAACTCAGCTCATTACAAATTCTTACTTTTATGTTATTTCACTTCCACGTATCCAATTACCAGCAAAACAACAGCACAGCACATAACAATAGAATTCAGAAAGTGATAAAATAACCGCAAATGAAGCGGCCGGTTACATCACATGGCAAATACTTCTGAAAAGTGATAACAGCTCAAAATTGTTGAGGAAGACGGGACAGCAAAAAATAAAAAAAAAATAAAATGTGAAAGCAAACAAGAAATTGCGAAAAAAAATGCCTCGACTCGCGTGATGTTTTTTATATTTTTTTTAATAACATTTACACAATGTCAATTCTTATCAGTGACAAACAACTCTTTCGTTCTGTCTCTGTCCTCACTTTGTCAATTAAGTTCTCAGTTCCTCTTGTTTTGAGACGTTGTGACATGAAAATAGCAAAGTTGTCGATCATTTTGAGGATAGGTTTGGTTTTGAGGGCAACACAATGTCGTTGAGTGGTTTGAGCCAGCTCTAAAAGTGGATTTGGGGATCTATTGAACCTTAGCCAAGTCTCTGATGGGGTTCGGAAGGTATAAAATCCTAAAATCCGTCAAAATCATCCAAATTAACTCAGCCACACCTTCAATGACACTTCACCAACAACTGTCAAGTATTTTCCATCAAAAGGGCAACAAGCATCACATCTAGCCATAAATGAATAGCCCATTAACACTCAACTTAAACCTCAAGCTTAATTGATCATGCAACTCAAAAACAATTACAATGTCCGCAGCACCTGAACGGCAACAACAACAAAAATCCGGAAATTTAATCGAAAGCATCTAAAAAATGTGTTTGTTCAAGTCGGCTCAGCAGCTTAGTCAATAACAACTCAAAAAAATCTCATTAGATAGTGCAAAAATTAAGCATGTAGGAAGTAAACGATGCACGATCGCACGTACGCCTGACCTTTTTGAGCCGCTCTGAGTCACTTATTTTTTTTATCTAACATAGAAAAAAAAAATTTGATTCTTATCAGCAACTGCGCCCCCTCCCTCTTCTTGTTTACTGCTGTTCACACTCATTATCGCTTTTTAAATATGTGGAATGACTTTATCGTACTTTTGTTGGATGAAAAAGAGTTGAGAACTAATCGCTTTGTTTACGAACAGAAATTTTGTGACATGGATGATAAGACAATGAAGACAAAAGGTTATCTTGGTTTTTGGTTCTTGGTTCTTAGTTCTTGGTTCTTGGTTCTTGGTTCTTGGTTTTTGGTTCTTGGTTTTTGGTTCTTGGTTGTTGGTTCATGATCCTTGGTTCTTGAATCTTGATTTTTGGTTCTTAGTTCTTGGTTTTTGACTCATGGTTCTTGGTTTTTGACTCATGGTTCTTGGTTTTTATTTCTTGGTTCTTGGTTCTCGGTTCTTGGTGCTTGGTTCTTGGTTCATGGTTCATGGTTCATGGTTCATGGTTCTTGGTTCTTGGTTCTTGGTTCTTGGTTCTTGGTTTTTGGTTCTTGATTCTTGGTTCGTGATTCTTGGTTTTTGGTTCTTGGTTCTTGGTTTTTGGTTCTTGGTTCTTGGTTCTTGGTTCTTGGTTCTTTGTTCTTGGTTTTTGGTTTTTGGTTTTTGGTTCTTGGTTCTTGGTTCTTGATTCTTAGTTTTTGGTTTTTGGTTCTTGGTTCTTGGTTCTTAGTTCATGGTTCGCGATTCTAAGTGCTTGGTTTTTGGTTCTTGGTTCTCGGTTCATAGTTTTTGGTTCTTGGTTCTTGGTTCTTGGTTCTTGTTTCCTGGTTCGTGGTTCTTGGTTCTTGGTTCATGGTTCTTGCCCTGATTCTTGGTTCTTGGTTCTTGGTTCTTGGTTCTTGGTTCTTGGTTCTTGGTTCTTGGTTCTTGATTCTTAGTTTTCTTGGTTCATGGTTATTGGTTAATGGTTCATGGTTTTTGGTTCTTGGTTCACAGCGACCTTAAAGCTCAAAACCACTCAACCAATCTACAACCCAGAAAACAAAGCAGCTACGAAAATTTCCACACAACATTCCCATAATTAACTATCCTAAAACTTCATTATTTTGTGGTCTATTTAGTGAAGTGCAATAGTAAAAAAACAATAAATTTTATGACCATTTTTATTGATTTTCCACAATATTAATTGCTTTCAATTTTCGCAATTTCCAATTAACTTTTATTTTATTGGTTATTTTTGCTAATACAATTAGTAGACTTGGAGTCTCGTACGGAGTAATTTTGGGAAGAGTATTTGGGTTAATTGATATTCTGATCCAGAATCAGTGAAGGAATTGTCCTTGTGAAGGATGATTTTGAGCCTATTAGAGAGGTCTACAAAAGAAGTAAGCTTAAGTCATGATTTTGGAAGGATAATGGATCTCTGAGATTAAAGTCTAGTCAAGCCATACATTTTATAGCTTTTTGAGGTTAGAAGTTCCAAGGTTTTTTCAAGTTTGACTATAAACACATCCTGAGGGACAACAACAAACTCAAAAACAATTCCACAACCTTGCCCACAGTCAAGCCTCTGCTCTATATCACGACTGATATGTTTACAACCAATTTTTAAGTGAAAAACAATGTCGAAATGACTCTTAAAAAAATTGCAGAAAAGTCGACACGAAAAGTCAAAGTCGAGATAAACAAAAATCGAGCAAAACAACAGATTAGAATTGAATTTTTTTTTATCGATTCAAAGCTTAGAAATGACTAAAAAACAATGTTTTATTCATACACAGTGTGACAAGGACGCATCGTAGATAATGGAATGAGGTTCAAGTCGGTTCGATTTTCGATGAATAAAAAAATGTGTTCACATTGAGCTACTCCGTTTAGATTTTTTTTAATAGACTTTACGTCTGCCAATTGTGTAAATATTAATTATCAAGCCTAACCTATGATTAAAGAGCTTTATGTCATTTTTAAATTAAAATTTTAATTTCTTTTTATCAAAAAGTAAACTTAAAGAAAAGTCACAAGCCGGCTGTAAAGTCAGAAAGTACCGATGTAGCCCTTTCTAGTTCAAATGTTTGTTGAGAGTCTAGAAAATTAAAATTAAAGTCATTAGTGGAGTTTTATTGCACATTTGTTGATCTAAATGGGAACAAATAGAGATAAAAAAATGTGAAACAAATGCTTTGTAAATGATAAAATGTTATAATTGTACGCTCGTGTTCTAGATTGATTTTGTAGAGCTGTTATGTAATTTGAGAGAGGCAGGGGAGTCAATTTGAACTTTCCATGGGATCTGGCAGGATTTGAGGTGGGGTTTCATGTTTTTTTGTTGAATCTCAATTTTTGAGAGTGAAATCTGACCTGTCAAAACCATTGAAACCTTTTTGAAATCGAATTCTTGTAAATTATCGGATGTTCTTTATATTTTGGGTTTACGTGACCTTTTAGACCCTTCTGAACACTTCTATCCACACAGAAGGTCATCCGAACTCTTTGTTTTTTAGATTTTACTTTCTTGAACCCTTCTCAGCCCCTGTTGATACCGCATCCCTCTTTTACGTTACCCTAGAAGCGTATCTTCCTTCAAAACAGCACCCAAATCTCATCAATACCTTACCCATCACAATTCCTCCACATCCATAAATTTACCAATTTTATTAATCTAAAATGTCAATCTTCTAATAAAATTTTTCTTCGTCAAACGCCGAGCTGAGCTGTACAAATTGTCTTTCTATTAATAACTCCAATAAAAATTCATATCTAACAGTCAATAATAAAACTGTAAGTGCCATAAAATATAATAAATTTGGTGTAATTTAGGACACTAAAATTACTTTTTTTCGAGACGATCTGCGAGAAATTAGAAAACTTGATAGAGCAATAAGCTAGTAATGTGATATGTGCGACGTACAATTGGAGGAATTAATGGGCTTTTTTACGGCGCTTTAATAATTTTTGATGGGTATTTGGGTTGTGGTGGATTAAAGTGAAGTTAAAAAGAAAATAGGCTGCTTTTTGGTATTGATTCTGATTTATTGTTCAAGTTGTGATTTTAATTTTTTTGCATTCTGA